TGACAAGAGTGGTATGGTACCGTGTTTATTTTAATTCCAATTACTCGCCATTCCAGCACCCCTCTGCAAAAGGAGTCCTCCACGAAGCCGGTGCAGCGTGACCATAACAAGAGTGTTGTATTTATTTATTGACTTAGTTTAGGATTGTGGACACCTTACTTTCTTTCCGTAATGTAAACATAGAATTATCACATTGTCCTCTATGTGGAGTCTAATTGTAGTATAAAACATAATATGGAATAGTAACATAATCACTCCAATACATAAAAAAGACAATACATTAAAGCCATCAAACTACCGTGACATTACTACAAGCAGCAATATAGGAAAAATCTTTGCAATGATTATAAACAGAATTGTTAAATATCTAGAAACTAATATTACTATACACAAAAACCAAGCTGGTTTCAGACAAAATCACCAAACTACGGACCACATTTTGACACTGAACACGATGATTAAAAAATGTGAAATGACAAAAAACCTGCTTCGTGGACCTTAGGAAGTGTTCTGACACTGTATGGAGAGATGGACAAATATACAAACTACAGAAATACAACATATGTGGATCGCTATACAATGTGATAAAAGACATGTACAGAAACATTTCATTTCAAGTTAAGCTGGATGGAAGATTATCACCAACTTTTGAAATAGAAAATGGTGTAAAACAAGGTTGTCCATTGAGCCCAACATTTTTCAATATCTTCATCAACGACATATCAACAGAACTTAATAAAAACTCAACTGACATTCCTGAACTCAACAGCCAGCCTATATCTAGCCTATTATATGCAGATGACATAGTGCTCACATCAACATCCAAATCAGGACTACAAGCCAATATTAATATTTACAGCAATACACACAGAGGATTAACAGTGAATACAGATTTTCACCAAAAATGGGTATAAACCTGAAGATACACTATTCTCCTATGGAAACATAACACTGAACAAGACCAATCAATTCACATATCTAGGAATCACATTTAACTCAAATGGACCCATGGAACAATGGAACTTCTAACCGACAAAGCCAGAAAAGCCGAAAGAAGCATAGAAGATATATACAACAATCAATACAACAATATAAATTTGAAGACGAAACTTTTTGAGACAGCTTCCAATCCTGTTATACGGATCAGAGATATGGGGAATAAACACAGTGGGACCGTACTTGTATTGAAAAATACCATTTAAAATTATGTCGTGATTTACTGAATGTCAATAACAAATGCAGCAACATTGGCAGCAGAATGAAAACTGGTAGATTACCATTGTTATCAATTATTCAGTACAGAGCAATCAACACCTGATTCATAATGGACCAATAACATTTGCATATGATCCTATAATGGAACTAAAACAAAATTGTTTAAAAAACTTTTGGCTACATTATCTAAATATAATCAAAAACAACTACAATATAGACATTGACAATATTAAAAAACAGAAATTCTACAACATATCAAGAGAACAATATACAAAGATCTGGAATGAGACCAACAATAGAGGAAACTCTAAACTACGCACATACAAACTTTTAAATTATACAATTAAATGTGCACCCTACTTAAACATTATGAAAAAATATCAAGATATTAAAACACTAGCCAAACTAAAACTAAACTGCCATAGCATAGAAATTGAAGTTGGGAGACATACACGTCCTAAAACACCAGCTGATGAAAGAATTTGCAAAATATGTAAAACAACTGAATACGAAATACATTGCATAATACACTGTCAAATATATACAAATGAAAGACAAGAACTTTATGAACAATTTAACAGAATATACTATAATTTCTCAACACAGAATTACATAGACAAATTCAAAATGATTTTAAACATGACAGTGCCATCTCTGCTTAGACATGTTATCAGATACTTAAACAATGCTTTTACTAAAAGACTAGCACTAACTAGTAGTTACGTTGGTGTTTATATAACTATATAAAAAAAAATACTTTATTATTTACAAACCAAAAAAGAATTGTAACTTCTTTACGGTTATAATAAAGGTTACTATTATTATTATTATAAATTGTTGTTTATGGGAAGTTTGACATGATGTCATCACATTCACTATCGTACAACGCATTGCCATTTGTTGTTTATGGGAAGTTTGACATGATGTCATCACATTCACTATCGTACAACGCATTGCCATTTGTTGTTGTCAATCGCAGTTTGCAGTTTATATTATTTTCTTACATTTGATGTCGAGGGCATTCTCATTTTGTTTGAAGTATTTTCTTTGACTTTTATTGGAACTTATCAAAATGGAAAAATGCTGGAAAACACAGTAACCGTATA